GGTGGGGAGGTCCTGGCACCACCCCCGAGGGAGGGCGGGCCAACTCACCCACGTGACAGTGCTTCCCTCCCCAGCCCGGGGCGCACTCGCACTGGTCGGGGCGGATGCAGACGCCTCGGTTCTGGCAGGGCTTGGCGCAGATGGCTGCAGGCACGGGAAGTGGGGTTCAAGACCGGGTAACGGCCCTGCTCCCCAGCCCCGAGGGGGCGCACCTCTCCCCGAGACCTGGAGAGACCCAGCCTCACCTTCATCGCAGGTGAGCGCCCCGGGATGCCGCTTTTTCCAGCCTTGGCAGCACACGGCGTGGGTCTGCTGTACCTCCCTCCTCACCTCTCGCCAGGCCACGCGGTACGTGGTCCTGGAACACAGCACCCAACCCGGCCCTGGACATTGGCATATGGGTCCTGTCCCCAGTTCTTGGGATTCCTCTTGCGAGACCCCAGAGTCCAGGCTCCCCAACCTTACCTATAGGTGCTGCAGACACGCCTTCCAGAGCACAGGGTCAAGTAGGGCTTATACACCGGTTGGCTGTAGGACTCGTTGTACTGGAGTGGGACCACCAGCGTCTGCTTGGAGCAGACCCCCTGACTGCACCCATGTTGGGGAAGGTGACATTAAGTGGGCCAGGCCCTGGGGGGCCTGGAGCTCCACTTCCCTTAAGGCTCCCCTGAGACCCCACCCTCCCTAGAAGTGACAGCCTCACCCCCATTCTAAATTTTCTTTTGCCACCTGTGAAGCCCCACCCCCAGCAGGTTTCATGCCCTCACCCCTGGCCCTGCCCCCTCTGTTGTCACCTCTCTTTGAGAGGTCCACCCTTGGCCCCCTCGCCTGACATCAGGAGCAGGAGGAATGAGAGTCCGCCTAAGAGAGTGCACAGCTCAGCCCTGGACCCCATGATTCTCCTTGACTCCAGGCTCTGCCAGCTGCAGGCAAGAAGAGGTTAATGGAGGCCCTTTCCCTCTCCTGTTAACTTCTCCAGTGCTGGCCCTTACAAGAGCAGTCAGTCTGCAGGTTCCCTTTAAGGGGGCCAGGACATACATTTGCACACCTGCATGTACATTTACCACCACCCCTTCCTTTAGCACATCATCGTCCATGCGGCATCATACAAGCTCACACCACGACACGCACCCTCCACCTTCCTTCATGGCCCTGTCTTGCACCTGCCCTCTTCTAATCTTCCTACTTTCAAAGTCTCAGTCACCCCTTCACAACTTGTACACAAACCCACACACCTGGACACACCGCCTTAAACACATTCCTGCTACCCTCACACACCCACACCACCACACACACCCTGGACCCACTCCCCTTACTCAGACAACACCCCCCAACTCACACTCACTCTGAGACTCTGAGTGACCCCCTACTCTTTCCCATTGACATTCTCTCCCCACCTGTCTTTCCCTTTCTTGGGAGACTTCAGGCCGACCAGCCACAGCAGCAACTCAGACTGGTGGCGGGCCAGGCGGGCTGCAAAGGAGAGGGGCGGGGCCAGACAGAGCCCTCCCAATCCTGCCCCCTCCCACAAGCTTCCTCCATCGCTGGAGCGCAGTGAGTTCACTGGGGTCCAAATCCCACCACCTTCACCCACAGATGAGCAAAGGGTCCACTAGAAGTCTCTTCTCAACCCTCTGAGGCCCCTTATTTCTGGCCCAGCCCTCCAAATCAGCAGAAGCTACTGGCTTTATAACACCAGCCGTATCCTTGGCCCTTGCCCCCCACCCTTCAACCCAACACAGCCTAGGGAAGAATTGGAGGGGCAGGGATAGGCAGAGCTGGCAGAGAACAAAGTGGGGTCAGGTCATGGGAGAAAGGCGAGATAGGCTGAGGAAAGAAAGAAGGGCAAGACACCACAAAGCAGGGTGGGAGGGGGGCTGCCCAGGGCACTAAGGGGAAAATTGCCCCTATTTCTTGATGACATTTGTTAGTGCCTGGGGAAGGGTGCAGAGTTGAGTCAGCCACCACCCCCCATGCCAGGGCAGACAGGGCCTTATTGTCTCCACCAAGATTCCTTCTTTCAAGGAAGAGGAGGCTCATTGTCCAGCCCCTCACCCGGCTCTGGCCTACAAAGGTCGAAAAGGGGCGCAACAAATGCCCACCCTGACCCTCAGCCCCCTCATCTAGCCTGGGGGTGGCCAGCACATTCCACCCATGAGGCTGGGGCACAAACCACTGGAGCCCTGGGCTCAGCCCCCCAATCATAGGCTGGGACAGGAAGAGAATTGTCCTCAGCAGGAAAGACCCCACAGAGAATCAGGAACCCACACAGAATGGGCATTGAGTGAGCGGAAACACTAAGGGGGTCCCACCCCAGACCAGGCATCCGGGCACCTACGCCTCAGGCTCTCCATCCCCACCCTCCCTAGGAGTCGGGTCCTCCTCACCTGGAAATGAGTCAAACCACTCTGAGTAAATGAAACTTTATTTCCATAAATATAGGGGTAACACCCATTCAAGGATAGCTAAAAGAGGGGCTGGAGCCTCAAAGAAACTAGGCTCCCAGAGGGCACCCCAATACTGAACATAGGGACTGGGGGATCCCCAAACCTGAGATGGGCCTCACAGGCCACAGATATTCCCCAGCACTGACACTTCAAGAACGGAACCGTCCCCATAGGGGAGCCTCAGAACCCCACTCTCATGGGTGGTCCTTCCTGGGGCTTGGGAGGGCTGACCACAGGGGAGTTCAGAGAAAAGAGAACATAGGGAAAACAGAAGCTAAAAATATCCTGAGTGGCCTGGAAGGAGGCCCCTGTGGTGGACAGGGGCTGGGTTCTCCTCCTGTACGGCCAGAGACGGGGGAGCAGCAGCAGTAGGAGCAGCCACAAGTTAAAAACCTGGTTTCTCACTTCCCAACCTTGGCTTGGGAGGATGGGAGAGCATGGAGCAACCCGCAAATGAGAGAAGAGATGGAGGAGACCAGGACTTGTCATTCACAGAGGCGCAGAGAAGGGGGCCTGGGAGCCCTGGTTGGAGGGGGGCAGTGTGGGAGCGATGAGGTGGTCACAGGCACACTAGGGCCTGATGTCCAAGGCTACCACTTGGTCTCTGGGCTGGGGAGTTCCTGAGGGACCCCTTAGGAGAGCCAAGGTTCAATGCAGGTCTCATAGAGGGTACGGTTGGAGTGCCAGACCGTGTGGGAGATCCCAGCCATCGGACACCTCACTATGGCCCCCCGGGCCAAGAGAGTCTTCAACCCAAAAGAATCATGCAGATAAACCTTCAAGGAGGGTGAAGGGACATGGAAGAAAGACACAGGGAGAGATAAAGTGAGTTCCTGCTGGTGTCCCAGACCCCTTCCCCACAGGGTGAACCCTTCAGCTCACATGTCAGTGGCAGGGAGGGCCACAGACTGAGGTGGGACAGTGCATGCAGAAAGGGGAAGTAACTCCAGGGGACTCACCAGTTGCTCTTCCATCTCCAAGACCGTCTCGTTTGCATCATAGAAACCAAAGAAGCTACAAAGAGATTGGAGGGTAAGGAGGAGAAGGTTATCAGGAGAGATGGAGAAAATCAAGGTGGGCTAGGGTCCTTCAGGAACTCGTGGCCTGATGGGGACATGGGCAGCAAGGAGGACACTCAAAATATTTAACTGGGTATCATGTACCTCATAAGGTGATGCATTGAGGATACAGCATCGCTTCTGCAGAATTCCCATCAAAAATGCATACCCTGAATCTAATCATGACAAACTAGCCAACAAACCCAAACTGAGGGACATTCTATAAAATAGCCAGCTCATATGCTTCAGAAATATCAATGTCATGGCCAGAGACTGAGGGAGCTTTCCAGATTAAAAGAGGCAAAAGAGACAAGTAAAGGCAACACGTGATCATGGGTTGGATTTTGCACTGGACATTTTTTTCTATAAGGACAATGGAGAGATTCTTGAATAAGGTCTCCAGAGTACTGTATCAATGTTCATTTCCTGATTTTGATCATTATATTGTGGATACATAAAAGAAATGTCCTGTATATAGGAAAGAGACATGGACATATTGAAGTTTTAAGGGAAAGAGATATTGTGTCTGCAACCTACTCTCAAATGGTTCATACACATCCTCCATATATATATGGGGGTGGGGTAATGTAATGTAAACTTGGCAAAATGTTAACATTTGGGGAAATCTAGGTGAAGATATACAAGACTGATTTGTACTACTTTGGCAACTTCTTAAGTATGATATTTCAAAATATAAAGGTCTTAACATTCTTTAAATTAAGAAGATTTAACTGGCGTGGACACTGACCAGGATAACTAAAGACATATCTAATAGTGTTAAGTCCAGTGGGTTATGGGAACAAAGAGGAGCAGTCACTACCCTAGTTTTAGAGCATCAACAAAGGCTTCCCAGCAATGATCTTGGACTAGGGAAGGCTGTCCCAGGCAAATGGAACAGCAAAAGCAATGGCACAGAGGTAAGACACAGCTGGGTACATGGAGGTGCTGGGTTGGAGGGCTGGATCTCATAAGTATAGGAGAGCAGTAGGGGCACAAAGACCTGGATTTGAACTCCAGCTCTGCCACACGCTCCCCGCTGTGTGTGGTTGATCATGCTGCTGGTCTTCTTTGCCCTATAATACCTCCTTTGTAGACAGGAACTAAAACACTGTGGTTAAGTCACACAGCCTGACCTCACCACTTACTAACTCTATGAATGTATAAATGTTATTTGAAAAGTACTTAGAATAATGCTTTGGGACATAAAGGTGTTATATAACCTTGAGCCATTATTATTTGCATAGGATTCTAGTAGACGTGAAATGAGATAAAAAGAAATCCCATCTCTAACCTTTATAAGGAATGTTACTCCTTCACTCAAAATCCTCCAAGATGTTCCCATCTCACTCAGAATTAAAAAAAAAAAAAAATCAAGGGCCATGGTTGGCAGGAGCCAGGGAGAAGCAGGGATGCATTTAAAGGGTTTGAGGTTTCAGTTTGGGAAGAAAAAAAAGTTCTTGAGATAGTGGTGATGGCTACACAAGATTGTGAGTGGGTGCTTGCTTCAGCAGCACATATACCAAGACTGGAACGATACAGAGACAGGTGATTAGCATGACCCCTGCGCAAGGATGACATGCAAATTTGTGAAGCATCCCATATTTAAGACTTTTTTTAATTTTTAAAAAAGAATGTGAACAGACTTGATGCCACTGAACTATACACTCAAAAAGAGTAAATTTTATACTATGTATATTTTAGGAAAAAAAAAAAAAAACAAGGGCCTTACTTTGCCCTACAGAGGCTCTCTGTAACTAGCTCCCTGTACCTCCCACCTGCTCTTCACACTTCCCTGCATTCTAGGCACAGGGGCCTCCTTAACTCCTCACACCTGCCCCAGGGCCTTTGGAGGTGCTATTCATCTTCCCTGGGTTGTTCTTCCCCCAGGTTGTTGAACAACTCCTTCCCTCACTTCCTTCTGCTCAAATGGCAAATCTTCCAGAAAGACTTCTCTGGCCACTATCTTAAAAAGGCCCCTGTCGGGGGAGGGTATAGCTCTGTGGTAGACCACTTGCTTAGCATGCACGAGGTCCTGGGTTCAATCCCCAGTACCTCTGTTAAAAATAAATAAACCTAATTACAAATAAATAAATAAATAAACCTAATCCCCCCCTCAAAATTTTTTTAATAAAATAAAATAGGCCCCAGTCATACTCTAATCCCTTCCCTTACCTTATTTTATCACCACCTGGCGTATATATTTACATTTATTATGTCTCCCCCACTAGACTGTATGGACTTCTCTTTCATTTATGGGAGCATCCCCAGGGCCTAGGAAAATGCCTGGGCACAGTGTTCAATGAGTGTTGAGTGACTAAAGTAGATCAGGTGACATTTCAGATCAGTCATGATGATCAGAGGCAGCCACATAGTACCAGGAGCTCTGGCTTTTCCTGAGGAATAGGATAGAGGGGACATAGTCCAGGTAAGTAAAAGAGATGGTAGGAAATGTGATTAAATGGCATGGAACTATATACGCATATTCTACCAAAGTCCATTTCCTGGTTTTAATATTGCACTATAGTTACATAGGCTGCAACCACTGGGGGAAACTGAGCAAAGGCTACACAGGACCTCTCTAAACTATCTCTGCAACTTCCTATGAGCCTGTAAATATTTTAAAGTTGAAAGTTTTTACAAGGGGGGATAGTAGGGATGGAGAGGCAGTACAGTCAGCAGGGCTTAGTGACCGGCTAGCTACGAGAGGCTGGGAGATGACTCCCACGTTTTGGTCTTGGGTAACAAGACGGATGGAGGGTAGGGGTATTAACTCAACAGAGAGTGGGAGGAGTGAGCCAGTTTCAGAAACCATATAAAAGATTGATGAGGCCTGGGGGTGTCCTGAGGCAATGTTCAAGCCACACAGTCTCTTATTACCTGGATTGCCAGGGGGTAATGACACCATCATCAGGGCCACCAATCAGCACCAGGCGGCCCACACGAAGAAAGTTCTTCCGCCACACTGCAGGGTGGGAAGAAGAGAGCCTTAGTCAGTCATAGGAGTCAGGCCAGGTTGGAAAGGGGAACATCGGGGCTCAGAGAAGCAGAAAATGGGTCCCAGGTAGGAGCCCAGGGTCTCACCAGTGGCATTGGGATGGTCTCTTTCTCCATTGATCAGGGCCAGGAAGCTGCTGGCATTGAGGTACAAGTCATCATGGTGGGGGTCTGGATACAAACAGCAGTTAGAAAGACAGTCAGAAGCAGGGAGAGGAGGCAAGACCAGAGGCTAAAAGAACAATCAAGAGGCTACAGTAATAGACAAGGTGAATAGTAATACAATGGTATCAATAATAATAATTGTAAACATGCTAGCAAACATCTTTAGCACCTACCATGAGCCAGATACTATTCAAAGTACATTACATTCATTCGTTTATTTAATCCATATCTACCCTATAAGGGTATGTACTATATCATTATTTTAGATGAGGATATATAAATGTCATCATTATAAATGAGGAAAACTGAGTCACAGAAAGCCTGAGAAACTTGCTCAAAGTCACCCAGCAGGGCCAGGCTTCCAACCCAAGAAGTCTGGACCCAGTATCCATGGTCTTAAAAACTATACGAGGCATTTGCAAACTATGACTCATTAGCCAAATCCAGTTCACCATTTGTTTCTGTAAATAACTTTTTATTGGAACAGAGACACACTCATTCATCTACATACGGTCTATGGCCGCTTTCACACTACTGCAGCAGAACTGAGTGGTTGTGGTGGAGACTGGATGGCCAGCAAAACTAAAAATATTTACCATCTGGCCCTTTAAGGACAAAGTCTGCCAACCCCTGCACCAGATTTGGCTCTCTAAGGCAGTCAGGTGATACACATAAAACGTTTTAAACAGTGCAGGTTCACACAGTAAGTGCTCAATAAATATAAGCCACCATCATTATTATCACTGCTGCTGGTTATGGCACAGGTGGGAACAGCAGGCCCTACCCTCCAGGATGCCCTTTCCATGGAGGCTTCCGTTTGGCATGCCTTACTCACCGTGCCAGTAGTTGCAGATGGAGAATTCCTGGCCCCAGGGGCTATAGCAGATCCGGTAGAGGTTAGACCTCATGGAGGTGGGGAACAGCCACTTCAAATAGTCCGTGTCTGGCGAGAGAACAGCAGGGCCAAGTGACCCCAAACATTTGTACCCTCAAAACTCAGGGCCCCCTTATGGAGCCCGCAAGTGCCCACTCACCTCCATACTGTCCCATCTGTGGAGAGGAGAGGGAGATGAAAGAATCCACATTGTGTTCATCCATCACCGAGAGCAGTGCCCGGCACACGAGGCCCCCTGGCGGCGGAACACAACATTGGGCAGGGACTTAGGGACTGCCAGGCCAAAAGTTCCCCCATTCCACCCGCCCCCCGACACACACAATGTACATGAAGGAAACCTGGCCCGAAGAAGGCAAGCACACCCTGTCAAAACATCCCACATCTTGTAAGTGACAGAGCCAGAATTCCATGCTGGGCTTCTGACTAACTCTAGGGTGCTCTTTACTGCCCCACTGTCCCTTATGTCCAAGACCGATGGGTAATGGATAAAGAAAGGGGCAGCAGTGCAGGGAGGACACACAGAGAGATAAGACCTAGGTGTAGAAGGAGGTCAGAAAAGGAGGGCTCGAGTACCAGGGATTTGGCTAGAGCAAGGTGGTTCATCAAAGAGAACACTTAGGTAAGGATTGAGCCTCAGATAGGGCTTAGGAGTTGGGGTGGGGAGAGGGTGCCTACCCTGGGAGTAGCAGATGAGATGCACCCCTTGAGGGGCCTTTGCCATGATGGGGGCCACAGCCTCTCGGAACCCTTGCACCTGTTCCCACAGGGGCCGCAAACTCTCTCTCCCATCGAAGAGATCGAGCACTGTCACCACAGTCCCGGGGTGTGTCTGCGGGAAAGGGGCAATGCCGCAACTGGGGTTGGACTACGAAGCGCCTCCACACCGCCCCCTGGCCAGCACCCATATGCCTATTGTGCCCAGCTAGAACCAGGGATCTCGGCCCCCAACTTTCTCCCCGAGCAACTGGGCAGGCCCGGAAGGGCAGCTTTCAGTTCCCATTCTCCTTCCCCAGCCACTGTAGACACTTCCAAAGCCCCACAACAGGGTGTCCCCTGCCAGACCTCATTGATGTATTCCAGCAGGTGGCGGAAGCTGTACGAGCTGTCAAAGAGCCCGTGTACCACGATGACCGGCTTGTAGGAAGTCCGATGGGGCGCGGGGGCTGCGGGCAGCAGCAGCAGCAGGAATGGCAACAGGAACAAGAACCCTGCCGGGGGGAGCCGCAGCCCCCGGAGTCCCGGCATGCTCCCGCCTGAGGAGGGGGGGATGGGGGCCTGTGAGAGAGGTGACAACAGCCCCTCCCTTCGGAACAGACGGCTGGCAATCAAGCCTACCCTGCCGGTTCCCACACCTTGTCACAGAATATCCTACTTTTAACTTCCTCCAGTCCTCTCCCCACAAACGTAGACGCACACCAATGCGCACCCAAGCCCCGCCCCCAACTCAGCGGGGACTTTATCTCTAGGCCCAGGATCTTCCTAATGCATCATCCTAGCCATGCACGACCGGGGTTTCGCAAGAAAAGACCCCTGAGCAGCAGCGCAGGCCCCCTTAAGTGTGCAAACTCCCACCTGGCCTTGGTCCGCGAGCCTCGCCCCGCCCGCTGTTTACTTCTCCCCAGCCTGGAACCCACGTTGGGGAGGGGAAGGGTGTAAGGAAAACGCGCGCAGAGGAATGACGGCCGGGAGGGGAGGCTGCTCGGGGTCGCGCTTAGCCGTCACGTCCGGGGCTTTCCCTAGCAACCGTGCCAGCGTCCTCCGCAACTCAGGCCCCAGACAGGAGTGGCAATGGAACAATCCATTGCGCCCTAAGAGCGGGGGAGGAAATAGGCGGAGCGATCTCTTTAGAGCGGCGGAGAGAGGGAGAAGCAGCAAACATATCCTGGGAACTGAGAGGTGGCCTCTTCAGGCCCTGCGGTACCAGCGACCCGGGGGTCCGATTTCTCGGTTGATTCACCCTACTTCCCAATTCAGGCGACCCGCAACGGAACACGGAGCTCTCTCCCCAGGGAGACGCTGGGGAAACAGACTGGGGAAAGGTAGTCCTCCGCATTTCGTCGTCCGCCAGAGTAGGGCTGAAGGTAGCCCGGGCAGACCCTACCCCCAACCCCTAACCGCCCGCCCGCCCGCGCCAGGCCTGCATCTTACAACTCTCCATTCTGAAGTGCTTGTAGTGCCCTTGTCTCCAGAGACACGGAGAGTCCTCGAGGTCCCTCGAGATAAAAGTGCGGCTTGGCCCAGTTTCTTTTGCCCTACTCTACTCCACTGCCAATATACGACCCACCCCCTGCAAGGGGCCGGATGGCCTGTAGGGCCGCGCTGACTCACCCTCGCTTGGATTCGACCAATTTTTCAACCTGAGCGACCCTCACAATCCCCCTACCCCCTGAATTTCGAGTTCTTTGTGGGCGGCTCCTTACTCAGACCTTCCCACCCGAATCGAACTTCTGAACTCCAGGCGTCCCGCACCTCCCCGCCTGTGACCCCTACGGACATCCTGGTGCCTGGGTTAGAGCTTTTAGTTAGCATTTAAAAACATTTCCCTTGATAAA